TAATATATAATATATAATATATAATATATAATATATAATATATAATAAATATATTCTATTTATATTAAAAATTATTTAAAAGTCAGAATGTAGAGTCTTCAGTTAGATGGCTGTGATGTCACAGTTACACTTTACATACCTCCAAAGTGAACTGACAACTACTAAATAGGTAAGATCATCCAGAATTAAAATAAATATGCATTAAAAAATCTTCTTTTGAAGGAACAAATATACGCTGAAATACCAGCATAATAACATCTGAAATACCAGCCTGGCTGCCACCAGGACAATCTGAACCCAGGAAAGACAGGACAGGAAAACAAATATTTTTTCTCTGAGAAGATCCAGCTTTGGCTGGATGTCAGCCATTATTCCTACTCCAGGATGAAGTAGGCCAGATGGAAAATACAGAAGAACCTCTGAAATGCAAGGAGATGCCTCTCTGGTTCACACATCCTTTATTCACCATGTACAACAGCACTGAATTGGTTAATCCATGGGTGTGAAAATAGAAGATCATGGGAGAAATGCTGTTCACTTCTCATCGCTTCTTTTTCATTTATCCTCCCTCTTCACTGGAACAGACTTCCCTGGGAAGTGGTCACTGCCCAAAGCTGCTGGAGCTCCAGAAGCATTTGGATAACACTCTCAGACATAGGGTCTCTTTTTGGGTGGTACTGTTAGCAGCCAGAAATAGGACTCAATGATCCTTATGAGTCCCTTCCAATTTGGGATTTCTATGTTTCTATGTTTCGTGTAACTTAAGTAGATAGGCTTTTTCCACCAGACCTTTGCAGATCCTGTCTCCTGCCACCCTGAACCTGTACTATACTGTGATTTTCAATATTAAAGTTAGATGCACTCTTCCAAAAATTCAGAACTGAAAAATCTACTCATAAAATTATAAATATCAGCTCTCATTCTGAAACTTTTGACGCAGCTATTTTGCATTGTAACTTTCTCCAGTCCAAAGAGAGATGGAATAGACAAATCTATTACTAAAAATTCTGTGTGAGTTGAAGATTTAGATGATAATCTTCCAATTAATCTTTCTCAACTCTCTCTCTTTCAGATTGTGTACATGTGTTATGGAATAAGGATGTGCAGCCTCTGCAGTGAAAACATGCTGGCTCTGCATGGCATTCTACCAGATGGTATGCAAACCAGCAGCAAGAAACAGGCAGAATTGAATTACTGATCAACAGCTGTGGAACAGTACTCAGAGACCTACACAGAGAGATGCAGAGGGATGTTAAGGGCCATGTTTATGCACGAACACCACAAAGCAAATCAAAGTCACCCCTCCTTACCACCCTGTTTGAATTATCTCTTCTCTGGGCCAAGAAATAATTAATTGTTCCTCTAACAGCCACTTCACCTGAATGAATATTAATTCTGCCTATTCCTCTCATTTTGTCTCAGGCTATTCTAAAGAAAATCTCTCACAATATCCACTAATACATTTACATGCATATTTAACTCAGGTAATAAAATATAAGACTTGATAAAAAAAAGTCATAACCTGTTGCATTTATTAAAGGTTACATTTTTGAACAAGTTCAGGTCTGTGGAAAAATTAGCTTTTCACATGAAATTGCTAACTCTGGCTTTCATGTACCTATTGATGAGAGTTCATTTATGGCTCTTGAGGAAAGAATATCTTTTCTGTGCTCTGGAGATGGGTTTATGCAAGACAGCAGTTATGCTTCTGTGACATAGGGTGTAAGGAGACTTGAAGGATGACAAAAGTACAAAAATTCCAGGCTAGTCCAATCTGTACAGTCAAAATTATCACTGAGAGCATTTGGACAGGAAGCTTGCTTTTGCCTATAGACTATCACATTTTGCTTGCAGCTGTTTCAGAAAGTACCTTCAGATGGCTTTGTAGCACAGACTGAGACACTATAACCAAAAGAATTTGAAAAATGGATTTTTCAAAAAGGGAGGGGAAAAATAGCTTAAGCTATCTGCACCTACTCATATAAGCCTACCAAATAATACAAAAGTTTGAAATCTGCACTGCTTCAAAGCGTATTTCCTGTCTGTCTGTACATAACTGTTCAACTGACTACACCTTCATTATTTGTTACTTTATCCATTTAAAACCATACAGCAGGAAAGCCTGCCCAAGGTCATTATCTAATAAAAGTGAACTGTTTGTTTAACAGAGCCATAATGTGACCACTACATTCTGAACCACATTTTGTATTATTAACCTTATTTAAATTCAAGTGCCTTTACCTGCAATCCATTTTTAAAGCAGTGCTGCTACTATTATTGTCACAACAGATCTTTCACCCTCTTTCATTTAATAGTGTCACTAATGTGTCATAACTTTTTGTTTTTCTTTTCAGTGAAGTTCAGTCTTCTCCAATAAAGTTTTTCCTCTCTACTCAGTAAAATTTAGGATACAATATCTGTTGCTAAGAACCATGTAAACGTGCTGTAATGTTAAGGCTCCTCTTTTTTTTTTTTTTTTTTTTTTTTTTCTTTTTCTTTTTTCTTTTTTTTTTTTTGTATGGCTTATTTTTAACCAACCTTATAAATCATACATGACTTTCTTGAATTCAGAATGTTCAGAATGATAGATAATAATGGAAACATTCTTCAGGCAAGGAATAAATTAAAAAATAGCTTTTAACATTATACATCTATAAAAGGAAAAGTTTGCTAATGATTTTAGGTGTCCAGCCTAGATGTTTGAAAGAGTTCAAGCCTCATAATTGGGTTCTCAACAGCAGGGGTACCCAAAACCCATTGTCACACTTCGCTGCCTGGACAAGTGCCAACTGGTAGAAGCCCAGTGTGCATGTATTACTTTGCCCCTTAATAACATATTAGTATGTAAATGTATCAATTTATGATACCCGTACTTGAAGGAACAAAAAAAATACAGCAAATAAAATATGATAAACTATAAAAGGTAAGAATACAGACTGTCTCCGTGCAGTGCTGTAACTCAACTAACGACCATATAATGACTACTGCTCTGCCTGAAGTTGTGAGCTCCTTTAAAGAGCAGCTCTGAAGACTCTCTGGGGCCAATGAAGGCTGACTTTCTGAGGATTTGTGATTTCTTGACCACAAGTGCTCAAGAAGATGACCTCCTCTGTGAGCAGGCACTTCACAAAACCTCTTTCCCATGTGGTATTTCTGGTGTTCAGCAGCTGGGTGCACTCTGACTCTTTAAAGAACAGAGAAGACTGAGACTCTTTGTCTTCTACACTGGCTCCTGTTTTCACAAAACTAAGGAAATATCAAGACTTCTCATGTTTTTACTTCTATGCCATATTTAGTTAAAACTGACCCAAAGTTATCTGTGGGAGAGAGGAAATGGAGAGCTCAAAGCACACAGCAGAGCATGAGATGAGATTAAGAGCAGATTATTTGAGATTTCCAGCTCTAGTTCTATGGCATATGCCATTATTTCAGCACTATCTGTGGTTCGTAACAATATTGCTGTCCACTGGGGACAGAACCCCATGAAAATGAATCTCTCCTAACATAATTTAAGAGCAACAGAGAAAGGGAAAGAACTCAGTCCCCTGTTAGAGCATCTAAAAAATGAGACTTTCAGAACTGAAAGTTCAATTGCAATTTGCTTTAAAAGGAAACAACAGAAATGCCTTAAAGGAGCCTGGAAAAGACAATATATTCAAATAGAGAAATGTGTCTCCTTCATCTCAATTTACTGCATCAGAAAATTGTGTTATTTAGCTGATCCACAGTTCATGAAAACCAGCAAAGTCCATAAGAAACTAATGTGTTTATCTTTGTAATACTTCTGATGCTATTACAGAGCAGTTCTCTTTTAACCCTGCATGCACTGAGAAGCCAAAATATCTGTTGTACATTACACCATTTTAGGGACATCAATAAGAGCCTATTGCGACCCACTTCAGTGGAGACTCAGGAGAGTAGCAGTGGCTGTGACAAAACTTCAGCTCTGATTTTCAACTTCTGTTCTTCTTAATTTCTCCCTCACTGTAACCCATGTGTCACAGAATTGCAGTCAGAGATGTGCTCATAGCTCTTAATGAGGGCAGGAACAAGCCTTTGTGCTGCAGGGCTCAACCATCTCCAATAGCTTTCTATGAGCCATGACATTTTTCAGCTTTATTGACACCAGTGGGAATACAACATGTCTCCTGGAATTCATTCTTCAGCTTAACTCTGCAGCATGCAGGGTTGTACATACAGGCTCAAAACAAATCCATCCTCAGCCCAAGCAGGGCTGAGGCTCAAGCCTGGCAGCAATTTGAGCATGAGATTTTAGCTGTAACTTGGAGTGGATTTGCTTTCATTGCTTTCATTGACTTGTTCTGGGCATGTATTTCACACAGGGTTGTTGTTATTTAAAAAATACTCATATTCATATTTACATTGAGGTATCTACTATAATATGAGGGCTTTGCAATATAGCATGTTCCATTTATTACACTTGCAGTCTTAAAAATGCCCTTTATTGTATACTATGCAGATCTGTCATAAGTTTTCAAGACTTGCTTTCAGTTTTCTGTCATATTTATTTATATATTTATATATATATATAAATTATATATTTAAGGCCAGTAATTAAGCTGAAATTGAGAATAGTTTGGCTTTTACAAATATAAGAAAGAATTGATAACAGCTGAAATTCTACCTGCAATATTCACTATGTTCTTAAAACTCTAACAATACAAGGCTACAGTAAGTTTCTTTCCTCTCACAGCTGTTACATTCACCACATAGAAGAGGTGCCAGTGTATTTACCCAGGGAAACCGGAATGCAGTTTACATGGAAAAACTTTTTTTTTCTCGATTTGTGAGGCTGGACTTGTTTCACTACCAGCAATAGTTTAAAAACATCATCCTTTGAGTTTTGCATAACTCAAAGTTTAATAGAGTTGGATGCTGTTCCAACCAGAGTTTCCACAATTGAACTAACATTATATACATAATACATACAACTGAGCATAAAATTATGTATAAACATGTTAACTATACCTATTTAATGTGCTAATTAAAGACGTGACTTCGTGACATCTAAGTAGTCCCTATCTGCAAGGGCTGTCCTATTCTCTTGAACCCAAATTACTGCCTAAGGAAAAATCCTGCGACTGGAGGTTGCTGACACAGACTGGAAGGATCTCTGTGCAGCTCAGTGGGCCACAGCCTGTGCTCTGGTTCTTCTTGATACTACATCAAAGGCTGCAATTAACATCTGCAGAAAAACGTGACTGTTTGCCTAAGCAGAAAGCCCTTAAGTAAACCCATTCAGACAACAGTACTAATTTCTTTTTCCAACCCAGGTTCTCACTTGTTGCTTCCTAGCATCTGATCTTTCTGAATTCTGAAGTAAATGTCCCTCCGCAGAGCAGGGTGAGGTTCACAATGACCAGGCAACACCGTATTCCTTTTGCTCCTAACATGTTAATTGGATCAGAACAAATTTGTAGGGTTTTGCTGTTTTGTTTTCAACACTCTTCATTTCAAAAGAGCTACACTGCTTTGTTGGAAGCCTGAACAACTTGTTGCTTGGTTGCACTTCATTCGAGTTAAACTCCTCATACTGCACTGCAAGGAAATGAGAGAGTTGTGGTCCCAAAGGAAGCAGCAGAGCTCTGGGGCTTCCTGACACTTTGTAAGGAGAGGGGACCTGTAAGTGTATGAAGAACACACAACATCCCCAGCAACTCCATGCAACGCTTGACCTGTCTGCGCCACACACACGTCTCCAGCCATCCCTCCACTATAAAACCCATCCCCACTAACTCACTCTTGCCCCCTCACCTCCTAATGCTGCTGGTTCCTAACAATGCCGTGTCTATCTGTATACTGGACATGTCCAAGTCCAGCTCACAGACCTCCCACCACCATGGTCACCATCGCTTTTTACATTCCCTTCCCCAGCACCCACCCTGCCCCACCTTGGCATAGCAGAAAGAGATGAGCAGCAGGGGGAGAAGATAGCCGAAGACAAACGTGCAGACCACGTAGACCTTCTTGTGGCGTGGATTGGGCCAGTGCTCCCAGCAGAAGGTCTGGTCGCTGCCGTTGCGGTGGAAGAGGCGCTGGTGATGAGCCACTGGTGAGGCCATGGCAAAGGAGAGAGCCCAGATGAGCCCAACGCCCAGCAGCGCGTTGCGGGGGACGCGCAGGGTGGAGGAGCGCCGCGAGTGCACGATGGCCACATAGCGGTCCACAGACATGGCCGAGAGTGTGAAGATGCTCACCAACATGGAGACAGTGAAGAAGTAATGGATGAACTTGCAGATGAAGGCACCCAGCACCCAGGTAGGCAGCACGTAGACCGTGGATTGGAAGGGGATGCAGAAGAGCAGGTAGGCCAGGTCGGCAATACTCAGGTTGAGGATGAAGATGTTGGTGGTGCTGCGACGCTTGCCTGGCTTGCTGCGAGCCAGCACCGTAATCACCAGCGAGTTGCCCAGCACCCCCAGGGTGAAGATCAAGCCGAAGACGATCAGGGTGATGAAGTTCTCGATGCCGATGCCGAAGAGGGGCTTCCCCTCCGCGTCAGGGAGCCCGGAAGCGTTGAACTCCCCGCGGGGCACCTCTGCCCCCTCCTGGGACCGGTTGAGGGGCTCCCCTGGCTCCATCCTCTCCTGTTGACGCCAAGCAAAGTTTCCGCTGGTGGAAGGCGGAGGCAAAGCCCCGCGATAGGTGGTGGCTGCCCCTGCCAGCGCCGGGCAGGGTGGATGATTAGAGGGGTGGAAGAGGAGGAGGAGAAAGAAGAGGAGGAGGAAGGCACCGCAGCCACCCAACGTGAGCAGCCGGGTGTGGAGGAGGCTCGGCAGCCCCGGGCAAGCTGCGCGCTCCCTCCGCTCCGCTCCGCTCCGCCTCCGTCAGGCTCACTCCGGCTCCCGTTGCGCCGGCAGGTCGGGAAAGAGGGGAGCAGAAGGGTTTCTTTTTTTCCCGATTTAACCGGTAATCGGCTTCGCAGGGCAACCAGCTGGGAGAACTTCTTTCTGCCTCTTGTGCCGGCTGGAGCGGCGGCTGGCAGGGCTGCGGGAGCGCTGCTTCGAACTCGGACAAGTGAAGGGCAGTGGAAGCTCGGACGGATTACTCAGAGCCCGGTCTCTCTGTTTTCACCTCCCTCGCTATTAAATGTTCCGTCATGGGCTGTAGCTCGCAGGGCAAAAAGTGGCAGGCGCTGTTACTTCATACAAGCAAATAAAAGACCACCTTTCACGTACCAATCATGAAGAACGCGTTCCCAAAGCTCCCCGTTGCTCTGCTCTGTGCCCTGTTAGTCAGCGATGAGCTCAGTCGGGCAGCAGCAGGGAGCTCTTCCAAGGACCAAAATTAGAGCGTCTAAACAGTGGTTCTTCTCAGAGCCGGACAGAACTCAAAGCCTCCCGCAGGCTGTGTGTATGAGTTCACGTAAATGCTCTCACACACGTGTGCCTTGCCAATAAAGCAGGATTGCTGGAGAGTTCTTGAAACGTTTTCTATCTGTGCGCTACATCTGATGATAGCATTGCTTCATCTCTCTTCTCAAGGGATGAAACTGTGAATTGTTGCAAATCCCCTCCACCCATGTGGAGGTAAGGGCTGGGAGAGCCATGTCTTTCTTCAGATAGCTCTTTCCCATGTCCTATGTACTTGAGAGCTCAGTGTCAGTTTGCAGCACCTTCACTCAGGGAGCAGTGGGGACAAAGAGAACTAGTTGTTCAGCTGTGTTTCCTTAGGACACAAGCTTTTGTTTGCTTCTCTGTGTTCCACAATTTAATGTGTTGGTTGTTTTTTTTTTTTTCCTCACCTTTCCTTTTGCTGCTTGTATTAAGACAACCTTTTGTCAGCTGTGCATCAGCTGACTGTAGAGCCATTGACTTCTGCAGATCTAGATGGGAATTAATCCTACTTATCATCTGGTGCATTACGTCCAAAGCATAACATTATGGGAGAGCACAATTCAGTTTCTATGGATTTCAATGGATTTAGATTGAACTGCTTCCTGTATTCATCATGACTCAGTTTCGAAGTTACAGATAACTAAAAATAAACCACTGAAGATTCCTAAGAGATTTGAGGGTTCCTTTGTTGTTGTTTTTTGTTGTTGTTTTGTTTATAGTGTGCATACCTTACCACTATATTGACATGTTCAGTTACTGCTTGGTCCTACTACTATGTACTTCTGTAAGGGATTTGAGAACAGGTGTTAAACATTTTTAGAATATACCAGATACAGCGGACTTATCAGGAATACTCCAAGTATGTGGTAAAAAGATTGAAGCATACACAGATTCCTTTAGGGTTACTGACATCTATGTTGCTATAAATTCCGTTATTTGAGATACAAGAAGCTGATGTTTTGCTTTTGAATCACAGAATATCCTGAGTTGGAAGACATCTACAAGTGTCATGGAGTCCATCTTCTGACTCTACGTGAATCAAACAAAATTCAAACCGTATGCCTGAGAGCAGTGTCCAAACTCTCTTTGAACTCCAGCAGCTTGGGGCTGTGCCCAGCCCTGGGCAGCCTGTTCCATGCCCACCACCATCTGGTGCAGCCCCAGCTTCCCCTTCCATGACACAGCTCCATGCCATTCCCTCGGTTTAATCATGTCGTGTTGCCAGACATCAACCTTTTCTAGGATATCAGGAGTGAAACCTTAGCCTTGCTGAAGCCAGTGCTAATATTGCGTTAATTGTAACTCTCCATCTGAAATGTGTCATTAGTCCTCATTGCCCAGGCTTTCTTCTGTTTCTCAGGAAATATTCTCCTTTGAATGGTATTGTCTGAATGATGACCAAAGTATATCAGATTGTGGTATTGGACAAATGAGCAGGGAAAATGGATACAGAAACAAAATCAGTTTTAAAAGAAAGCAACCTGAAAATTGCATTAGTGGGCTGGACTGGAGTGTTGGCTCTATTAGTTTCCTGAGATGTTTTATTGTCAGTTTTGCAGCTCAAGCTCTGCTTTACTTTTATGCCTGTATAACACATATAGAAACATACACAGTATTATAAGGCCTCAGCTGAGCATGAGGAAAAAGAAAAAAGCAGCAAGCCAAACAACAGAGAGCACAACCATGTTGTAGCCTTTCTTTCATAGGAAAGAAGTTGATAGACCCATAGGCTTTTATATCAGTAAAGTTCACGTGCTGACAGAACCCATGACTCCTGTTAAAACTGATGGAAACAAGCAGGTGTTGACATTTCAATCCATCGTTATTATCTAGATGGAGTAAACAGCCAAAACAACAGAAAGTTCTAAAGGGAAAGTTCTTATGAAGTCAGTACGAATTTTATAATCAAATTTAAAAACTATCTGGGCAAGTGGGAGAAGAAAAAATCGATACAAAACGTACATCACACTACACTACAGAAAAATAATTTCCATCTCTTTACAATGGAGATCTCTTAAGCATGTCATTCATGCATTTCCTTGATTCTAGTTTTATTGAATCTAATCCTGAACACAGAAAGATCTCATTTTGTAAAAAATAGACTAGCTTATGAACTTCAGAAAGAGCAAAGCTTGATGCTTTGGGTAGATAACAGGAAATTAAATGCAATTTTCTTATGCCTGTGGACAGCATCTTCAGTATTCTTAGTCAGCTCCCCAGTTTTTCGTAGTAATTAGTAGTAAAAATAATGCAAGGAATCTATAAGGGGGATGGGAACTTGAGTACCTCTTGAAGTCCAGGCTTACATGTTTACTCCTTAATGTGTAATCAGGAAGGTAATACTGATAGGAAACATCACAAAAATGTCTTCCTTTCACTCACTTTAGTGATTGGTTTGGAAACGTGGTTTTTCATATGGCTCTGATAATAAAAATATTTGAATTACATTGGTAAATTTTTATGCCAGAAAAGAGAACTCATGATTTAACAGTCCAACAAACGGATTTAAAACATTCGTTACTGCTATAGTCTACGTCACTACGAAAACTACATACATAAAACATATAATCACAGTAATGTCACTAAAGTCCATTTATATTTGAGAATGAATATTTAGCCAGCACCTCTTAAATGTTTAGTTAGCATAGAAAGAATAAAAAGTTAACACACATTTCCTGCTGGGTTTTAGTTACATTCCAGCTTGTCCGTTTTAGGACACAATGAGTAAGTGAGGTGCAAAAATTGGAAGCTGATTATTCTTACTGATACACAATTTTCTGTTTTTATATTGTGTATCATAGAATACGATGTAAATAATAGAGCATACAACCTTTTGTCAGAAAATGTGTTTCAGTAAAATCTATTCACTTCCATATAATTTTTTTTTTTTTAAATTTGCCTGGAGTTGAGCTGGAGTTGGGCTTCAAGCCTCTAAACTGCACAGCAGTGTCGATATTGTTTGCATTCCACTCTACTGTACTCTGCTCCATGATTTGTTTATAAAACACAAAGCTGTAAAAAGGCTGATTTTCAAGACTGACTTTTTTTTTTTCAAATTCTGAAACAAACTCAGAAACAATAATCACCCCAATCGTACCCCATTACTTCTGTTTACTACAGTTCCTGGAGTAGAAATTCAGCAGAAATGAACTTTAAATATCATTCAAAAGCTGAGCTAAAAGTTCATGATTCAAAAGTCACCTTTGACTCACCAGTTATACAGAAAATTCAAGTACTTACTGGCATTAACTTGCCTTCTCTGTGTATTCTTGGGAACAATGTAACCCTGAGGTCACAGATGTCGGTACATTTGAATTTCCGTAGTGGAGATGTGTCAGTAATAAACTGAAGTTTATTGCTCCTGACATTTAGAAGGTAGCAAACATCTGTCCCTATTCATCTGAGATATTGCTGTTCTATCACAGAATTTGTGCTGAATTGTTTTCTCCTGGTTCTCTCTTCTAGTTCTTAAATTGTTCTCAAAGAGCCTTTAGAGTATAGACATTCAAAATCAGGGAATTAACTTTGAAATGATAATTTCTAAAACCCTTTAGTTTTAAAATAAGTATTCTAAATATTCTATTTAAAAATTAAATATTTACCCAGTGGTTTTTTTTTGTTTGTTTGTTTTTTTCTGTAAAAATGATGAGTACTAAGCAGCATATTCCAGCCACATGCTCTCTTTTTGTAGCTGATGAAGATGGTTCCTTGCTTCATTTTGCTTGATTTGTGACAATTGCTCCATGGGATGCTTCCTAATATAGGAAGCCCAAGTGCCAAAGTGACTTGCTTGGGTGTAAATACACAACTGTGCTTCATCCAAAACAGAGAGGATCAACACCTAGTTTCTCTTGAAGTAACAGTGTACTTTGATGAGCACTTGTAACAGAGCACAACAGAGCAAGTACTGCAGACTTGGAGGAGTGCAGCAGGCACCCTGGCCATGGGCAGAGCATATACAAGAGTCATTTCAGTGGACCCTTCAAGCATCTGCTTAAGATGGACACCTGACAGGTTTGAAGTAACAGAGAAAGAATAGACACTGCTAAGTTCTGCAAAACCAACTTCATGTCCTCATGTAGGAAATACAGGTAAGAAAAGATACTTCAGTTGTATGGAAAACACCGAAGCTAACTATATTTAAGGAGATAGTAGTGGAAAGAAATCACTTGGAAAGTAAGGCTGCTGCAGCAGCAGCAGTGTTCTGCTGGTAGAGCAACCAAAGGGCTGCAGGCTGCTTTGCACAGGGTCAGTTCAGGGCAAAGATGCTAGTAAAAAGAGCAGGACCCCAGGGGATCTTGGACAGCACATCTGCGCTTTGGGCAAAGAGAGAAAACTG